AAAAATGATGTGCAGTTTTGAAAATATACACATTTTTAAAAATGAGATTAAAACTTTATTTTTTTAATATCTAATTTTAGGTGTTTTATTTGTAGAAAACAACTTTTTACACTAGAGAGACTTGCATATCTGGAAATATACATGTTTCAAAAGTGAAATTAAGAACTATTTTAATTATTCTTAATATCTAATTTAGGTGAATTCCCTAGATAAAAAAAAACAAATTTATTTATAAAAAAAAAAAATCTTCTTTCATTTTTCTTGTTTACATTTTACAACAATTTTATTTCGAGATTGGTGTACTGGCTTACTAGAAAATCCTTACAAAAAATCCAACTTCATAAAATTTAACATTAAGACGAAACTGGCAACTATTTTTTTAATTCTTTTTACTTGCTATTTTGTTAACTTAATTTTATCGCAAAAAATCTTTTTTTTGAAAACTGAAACAAATAAATTTCGGATATCATGAATTTCCTTCTCTTCTTCTTCATTTCTTTTATAAACAAATAGATTTCACGTTTATTTCCTAAAAGAAAAAAACTAGTCAATTAAATGTTTTTAACATATTTTTGTCCAGTCTTTTTCTCTTACAAATGGTATAAATGTTGATAAAATTTAATTTTATTAACATCTGAAAGTCTTTTTCAATAGTGTTTCTTTGGATATGGTCACTCAGTATTGATATCACTTAAAAAAAAAAAAAAAACGATTTCAGTTTCATAAAAAAATTTGATGCAGTTTAACGGTGAGAAGATGAAACCAAAAAAGCCAGTTCTTCAGTTAAACGTCCCATCTCTTTTATATATATATATAAGCAAATATATGGATATAAATCCGACAGTATGAAAGAAAAATACAGAAAAAACAAAATTCTGAATATGCATTATTAATGTTAAAATAAAGTCGACATCGGACGTTTCGGTCTATTTAAGACCATCTTCATGGACATTTTCATTTAAACATAATTAACATTATAACTTATAACAATTTAACACAAAAGACGATGGACATAAGAACCCAACTAATTCAAACAAATAACTGAAATTTTATACAGATCAGCGTTCTGTTTAAATATGATCACGTAGTCGCCCCCATTATGGCGATGTTGTTAAGACGTATTCAAGATGATTTCCAAAAATTAAAATATCAAAAAGTAAAAATAGTGGCTGGCTAGTTGTTTCCAATTCTGTGCATCTGCTAATTCCTGCCACAGACACCAGCTCAGGCATATTTGTGTTGCTTTAATCTGCATAGAGCCAACCTGTATTTTTTTACTGCACATATGATGAATGGAATTTAATCACAGTTTCTGAGAGACAATAACAAACAACTGGGTATGATCACTAGTTGGTGTGTGTATGTGTAATATATATATATATATATATATATATATATATATATATATATTGATATCAAACATATAATTGAATAACAAAATGGAAAATCACCTACATGAAACATTTAAACTGTAGAAAAAATTTCATCGAACAATGGTATTAGCAATGGAGTCATTCATACATGGTGAGGAAGGGAATAAAAGCACTTATAATTTTACATTGAAAACAATATGAAAGGTATTTAATGTAATCAATCCTGACATCTCGACTTCAATCACTTTCTCACTGATATGATGTGGCTTCCCTATCTTTTCTACAAATATTTTCATTGTTCTAATGAGCTTCTCTCCTTAGTGACTTGACTGCATGAATATAAGCATGCTACTAGATTGGCAACTAGGTTCCACCATTTTACTGTTGAACTAGCTATATGCAACTGTCAGTTCTATTCTAATAGTTTATTTCATCGCACTTCTCACCAGTGGAACTCACTTATAATTTCTTGTTTCTTTGTTACCGACAATCTTCACAGATTGAAATGCAATGTCAATCACCATTTTCTGTCTTCCTGAAACTTGTTCCTTTATTGTCCTTTTCTTCACTTCTCATCTAAAGTTTTCTCATTCTCTTTCACATACTGTAACACTATGTCCAAGTGGCTTTATTGCCTGGCTTGGGATGAAATTTAAAAATGAAGGGAGAGAGAGAGATCTTAGGTTGGAACAAAAGTTCATAGTGTTTTAATAATTGGTGTTTGAATAAATGATTTGATTTCACATATGACTGAACATATAACTGTTTAGATTTAGGATACAGAACTGAGCAGTCCTCTGTGGTTGAGAGGTAAAGCACACTGGATCAAACGGTGGTTTTCCCCACAAAGGGAAATACAGGTTTGAGCTCTGCCAGGGAATGTATTTTTCTTTACTAGGATTCCTTAAATTGAATTCACAGGCTGATAGATGTAATACACAGTGTTTAATAAATAAAAATTAGCCATCTATGTATAAGGTGAAATTTCAATGTGTCTTTGTACACAATTTGTATGTGGATTACAAATTTTACATATTTTTACATTTAAAGTAAAAATGGATGAGAATGCTCCATTTGTAGTCATTGATCAAATTGAAAATGATTAAAAATAGTCTAGTTTATACAACACAAAACATCACTGATATATTTCACATATATTATATGAGTACCATAGGGCATTTGAAAATACTTGTATACATAAATCACTAAAATGTTTGAGGGCATCACATTTTAATAGAAAAATTTAACAGATTGCATTTCCACTGAACATTTTTCTTGTATCTCGAGTGATGGATTGTATGTACAAATTTGCTTGAGGTCTGGGGTTAGTTTAAGGCCCTGTAGTCACTCAAGGCATGGACCCTCACTGAGGGGACATCCATTCATTGTGAGTGGTGGTAGTTTGAGGTACAATCAGTGATAATGGAATATAATTAGTTTGGTTTTCAACTCATTAAATGTAACAAGCCAGTTTTTTGGAGATGTTATAGCTAGATTGGTTTATGGGTGTTCTAGTATACATAGTCTAGTATATATGAAGAATTAATGGCTTTATTTTAAATCCAACATTTTTATTACTTCAAATGTTACTATAGTGGATACTGTATATATGAAAAATTGGTTGTCTATTTCAAATACACAGAACAACATTTAAAGTCATAAAAATATCACATCAAAAATAAATCCATTAATTCTTTTGAAATTACATTGTTTAGGCTTAAGATACAGAACTGAGCAGTCCTCTGTGGTTGAGAGGTAAAGCACACTGGATCAAATGGTGGTTTTCCCTACAAAGGGAAATGCAGGTTTAAGCTCTGCCAGGGAATGTATTTTTCTTTACTAGGATTTCTTGAATTGAATTCACAGGCTGATAGATGTAGTACACACTCTTTAATAAATAAAAATTGGCCATCTATTTCAACTATGTAGTATCCATTATAATAATGCTTCAAGTAATTATATATATAACCAAGCACAAATTAATTCCTCCACAAAAAAGATTTTCTACAATGAACTAAAAAAATATTAAGCAGACTCATTAATAATGACTTCATAAACCATATTGTAGATGAACAAATAAGACGATATACAAAAAAAACTTCAACACACAGAATATAGAACTTCCCCAAAGGACACTAAATATATCAAACTACTATATTGTAACCAGATGCATGCTAACTACAGACAGGATGAAAAAATAATAAAGAATCTCATTTATACTAACATATCTTCCAAGGATTCTAATAAAAAAATAAAATTAATCATATATTATAAAAAATACAATACAACCAAGCATCAGCAATAACTCCTCCCCACTAACTGTTGTATTATGTAAAACCAACATTATATACCAATTTAAATGTCCCTTGGGAGAATGTGTCGCTGAAAAAAAAAAAAAAAAAAATTATGTTGGGTATACAGCAAATACACTAACAAGAAGGCTTACACTCCACATGTCTGACCATTCATCCATTGCTAGACAACAGCGTCCCTGTCCACATTCACAATATAAAAAATTACTAATCGACAACACAACTATCCTACACCATGAAAACAACAAGTTTAGATCACAGATACTAGAAACAATTCATATTAAAATATTAAAGCCGGCACTGAACAAAATCAACTATGAATACTACAGTTCTGAAATGTTCTGAAATTCCTGTAAACAGTTTTTTCATGCTTTAATGTGTGTGTGACCAGGACATAACAGAGGGGAAAAAATTCCATAATGGATAATTTTTTCATGTTCTAATGAACGCTCAGCACATTGTCAACCATTTTGCATTTAAAAGCATAATGAAAAATTACGGTAATGTATAGCAATACACATCTTTGTATAAATACTTATACTAATGAACAACATATAGTTTTTACCACTTGTACCCTTGAAGATGATCTTGGAAGAAGATTGAAAGTACTTGGGAAATGAAAATAAAAGAAATTTAAATACATATAGCATAGTTCTCTCATCCTTTAACATCAATACACAGGTTATTCATGAGTAAGAATGGATTTCATTAAAAATTAGCAGACATAATGTCTGTAATGTCAATCAGACATGCCTAAAAGAGAATTTGCTACCTAAATACAATATATATATATATATATATATATATATATATATATATATATATAAATAATTCAGAAAAAGTATCAAAGTAGTTGAAAAGAGAAATTATTTTTAACAACTGATGTTAAAATATACCAAAACAGGGAGAGGGAACAAAAAATTATTTTCCTAGTTTGGCATTGATTGACCAAAAAGGGCTACCTTGTGTTTCAATTCTCTCTGCCTACACAGGGCTGGGCGTTGTATATTAGACAAATATTATTATAATTTCTTTCAACAAAAACTCCTTATGAGGTTCTAACAATCTCTTCTGTAATCGGACTTCCATTTTCAAGGTATTGTCACAAGTAACGTCACTTAATTTGCAAAATTTGCTAGTGTCATTTAAAACACACAACATTTTATCAACATAATCGGAAAAATTGCTCATATACAGTACAAAAATGTGAGATTATGCAGGTAATTGCATCCAAGTTTTTCCAGTAATTATCAACCAACTACTTACTTTCATGATACATGCAACATATAACTTAAGAAACTTATATATACATTACCTTGTCTTTTTCCTGTTGCAATGATGGCTGCGAAGACACTGAGTCATGAGGAATATGTGATTCACAGTAGAGTTGGCCATCCATTGTATGCTTTCTATAATAAAAGTAAAAAATACATAATTTAAAATAAAAGTTATTAATTAATATGCAGAGAGAAGATGGAAAGCTTTACAAAAATTTCATTGCATCCAGTCTTTTGATTTGGATGAAAAGAATGTAGACAGATTCCACTTTGTCATATATTTTAAAAGTTAGACTATCAAGTGGTAATCAGATGGAATAAGATCTGGTGATTAAATATATATTTTCAATCATTTCACACTAACAAAAGCAATAAAGTCACTAAGTTGCAAGTGTTACTGAGTGTGAGAGAATATGGGATAAAAGAAAAACTTATGAAGGAACAATAGAAGAACAAAAATTAAGACGTGTATGTGTGTGTATACACACACATTATATATACAGATGATAGCTGCAAACTTGTGTTCAAGCATTGCCATTGCTTGAATACCCATAATAAAGCTCATCAATGAGCTGCCCTCATGTGGTGACTTTTTAGTTCTGCTAAAGACATACATTCTTTAGCACCAGAGTGACAGGCAGGGACATCTCTGACAACAGTTCCTGCATTGTTGTTGCATTGTTATTTTAACATCTTTTTAATCCTGCTGCACTTTTTCACACTATTCTACACACATTACAAGTTGTATTATCAAGTAACATGCAATCCACTCTCAAGTGGCATTGATGCGTTCTCTTGACTTTTCAGACCAGCTAGGGTCAAACAGACTTGGTCATATATAACACATTTGAAACCAACCTGATGACCCATTTCATCTTTCGCTTCATTTACATACCCATTCCAGACATCTCTTTTCAGCTTTTAATGTTCAACATGTTCTTTCTCAAACAAATTCTTTCCTGCATGAACCTCTCTCCTCCACTTTCTCCAATCCAATGCCTTGCTCTCCTAGGCCAGAACATCAATACCACACTTCCTTAAATATGTTTTCAAACAATCCTTGTACCTCATTTTCAGTTTCTGAGCCAGCCGCTTACCTCCAACAATTTCACCATACAGGAATTGCTTGGGCAGTCGTTCATTCTTCATTCTAACCAAATGCTCACTCCATCTTAATTGACGCTGAAAAATGATCGATTCTGTGCTTTGACACTAAGCTTATTGTAATACCTCAACATCACTGTTGCACATTTGCAAGTGAACAACAAGGATTCTACTGAAGCATTGTTGGTGAAAGTGTTTAAGACACTTTATGTGCTTTCTGTATGTGGTCCAAGTTTCACAGGCATACAGAAGAGCAGATAGCACATATGCACAATAGACTTTTATCTTTGTCTCTAAAGCTGTTTCTCCAGTTTTCCAAATGTGTCACTCGCTTTACTTATTCACAAACATACCTCGTCATCAAGGATTCCAGTCATGCTTAGTGTGCTGCCCAAGTACACAAACTTCCTGACCACTTTCAGTCTCTGACCATATACACAGATGTTGGGTTCTCGATAGGACTCTGCAGGTGCTGGCTGGTGTACAACAGTCTTCTTTAGCCCAATTGTTAGTCCCAATGCTGTGCATGCTGTTTCAAAGGCATCCATCAAGAGCTGCATCTTGGCCTCTGTATGAAACACAAGATCACAATCGTCAGCATAAAGCAGATCCTGCACCAGGTTCAAGACCTTTGTGTTTGTACTTAGATGCCTGATGTTAAATAGCCTTCTAGAAGCTATATAGTGAATGTATACACCATCAGAACAATCGTTGAAACACCATAGCAAAATACAAGGCAAATAGTGTTGGTTCCAGTATATCCCTTTGTTGCACACCACTTTCCACTGTAATTGTTTCTGCCAGTTTCCCCTTGAAATTCACAACAGCATTCATATCCTCATGGAAGAGCCTCAGTATAGATAGGAATTTGTCAGGACAACCAAGTTTTTTCAAAATCACCCAAAGAGCTGCCCTATTCACAGTATCAAATGCTTTAGTTAGATCAATAAACACTTGATACAAGTCCATTCACTGTTCTACACATTTCTCCTGCAACTGTCTTGCTGTAAAAACCATAGTCACTGTTCCACACCTACTTCTGAACCCACACTGAGACTCTGATAGAACGTCATCAGCAATGAGTTTCAGCATCTGTCCATAATTCTACATAATATTCTTTCCCAACGACCGACAGTAATGCAATGCCACAATAATTCCCACAATCATCTTTTGAACCCTTTCCTTTGTACAACATTAATGCATCTCACCAGTCCTGTGAAACAGATTCATCACCCCAGACCATCAGCAGTAAATCAGTGAGACATTTCATTATGTTAGGCCCAGCACACTTGAAAATTTCTGCTTGAAGTTCATCATTACCAGGTGATTTTCCAGTATTCAGCTTTTCAACAGCAGCTTCAACAAAAGTGGGAGCATCTACCAGAACTTCTTTAACTGATCTACTGGGGATTGACTCAATAAACTCTCAATCCACATCAGATTTTCTTTTCTAAAACTCATCAAAGTGCTCTCTCCATCTGTGGAGAATATCCACAGGGTCTCAAAAAAGCTTCTTAGCATCCTTTGAACACAAAGGCATGATAGGAGAACATGATGGTCAATACACTTCACGCAGAAGGTAGTACAGCAATTTTGTGTCATTAGTGTTGGAGGCAAGCTGTATTTCATCAGCCTTATCCCTCTACCAAGATCCCTGCATGTTACATAATTTTTGCTCCATATCAGCTCTGATGACTTTGAACGCGGTTATCAATCTTTCATGTTTATCAGATGTTTGTCCACCTTTCAGCATAGCATCTAAGGCTTTTGATTTAGTATTCAGTAAGAGCTCAGTGTAATTCTCATCAGACCAGTCACGATGTTTACATTTACAATACCCTAACACATCCCATGTGTTTTCACAAAGAACGTCTTCTATCGCAGTTACAAGCTCTTCTTTCACTATCTCATTCTTGAGATGACCTACATTCAACATTTAGGAATACTGACACCAGCACCCCTTGTTTTCGGTTTAACCACAAACTGAAATTTTGCTCAAATCAACTAGTAGTCGGTCTAGTATTCAGCTCCATGCATAGCATGGGCACCACAGATATCCTTCAAGTCACTCTTCCTTACCAATGACATAATCATATGCAATTGCTTTGAGCCAGGATGCATCCAAGTGTTCCTAAATTTATCCTTTTGACAAAATATGGTACTACTGATCTGGAAACCCATCTCTGAGCAGAACTGCAGCAGTAGCAAACCATTGCACTTTCCTCCTCCATGTCTTCCCATCATAATCCAGGTTTCAAAATCTCTCTCTACCCTAGCATTAAAGACACCAAGAATAACGACCTTGTCTACTGAGGGTACTCTTTGAACCATTTCACATAATGCCAAATAGAAAGCAACCCTGTCTTCCTCGCAAGAATCCATAGTCAGAACATACATGCTCACGAGAGTCACAAAATGACCTTTGATCAAAGGGACCTTCATCATCATAATCCAATCACTAACTCCACATGGAAGTTCTTCTAGGCTTGCAATAAGGGAAGTCTTCACGGCAAAAGCCACACCAGATTCCCTTTTACACCCATCCCCTCTACCACTCCAGAAAAATGTGTAGCCACCAGATAACTCAGTATACTGACCCTCATTAGCATGTCTTGTCTCAGTGCCACTATGCTCATTTCATATCCTTGAAGCTCCTTCGCTATAAGAGCAGACCTATGCTCAGGATGTAAGACAGATGACTGTAAGTCCAACAACGTCCTAACATTCCAACAGCAGATGTTCATAGGCTTACACTAGTCCTAGAGCCCTTATTGCCATTGATGCCAATATCAGAGACTCTCATTGAATGGGTTGGCCTTTTTGGGCGACAGCCAGCCTTTGTGTCAAGACACAGTAAGGTTCTGAAGTCTTCAAGCAATGCCTGTGCGTGAAGTTTTTATAAGTGAGGAAAGGCTTTGCACAAAACCAATCCCACTCTCTGAGTGACTGCTACGTTGACCTAAGAAGAAGAATTATACATCATTGGAGGTAGCAGACACTGCAAATGTCATATCAGATTTTTCCTTCTCTTAGATATCTGCCTTGATGAAGGCTGAGGGGACAACTCTATATATATATATATATATATATATATATATATATATATATATATATATATATATACACACACACATACACACTCAAACTCCGTATTAGGTGTTTTCAACAAGTTATGGTTTAAGTTGACTCTTTAGCTTCCAATCTCAACTCCTCACTACATCTCCCTTCCACTAACCTTACAGACATGAACTTCATTTCATTCCATGCCAAGGTTGAAAAGACAGAAAGACCACTTTCATCATCTGCCAAAATAGCCTATGAGGTAAAAGGATTTGTTTGATTATTAATTATATTGCTCTGTATAAATTAAATAAAATATATTAACCTCTTTTTTGTGGATCAGTTCTAATATTTTCATATTACTAGGATCAACTTGGATTATATACCGATGGATTTTTTACTTTACTATATATATTGTGTATATTTTGGCAGCATGTTTTCATTAACATGTCTCCTTGCATAATTTAGAAAAGTTTTGTCTACTTATTTTCAAACAAGATTCTTTGTATCCTTATTAAAGGAAGATAGAAAATTACCATGTTGATATACATATTCATTAATTTTGAGTACTTTTGACATTGTCATCATCAAGGTGTTGTTTGTTTTTTTTTTTCCTAAGACAAAATTGTTGTGTTGAAAGTTAAATATTTTAAGAGAGAAACACCAAGGTTATGTACTGTCTGATCTAAATTTAACAATGTAAACATCAGGGGAGAATACTAAGTTTTGAAATGTCTATATGATTTTTTAAAAAAACATATGGACATTTCAAAACTAAGTCGAAAGTACTTGGAATAAATGAATATGTAACAACATGGTAATTTACTCTCATTCTTTTTACATATATATATCTATACACAGGTTTTTGCATGATATTTTTAGCTTAACATATATACAAATAATCCATTAAATAAATCCATATAATACCAACAAATGTGCTGGTAGAAAATAGCAAAGACATATTTTTG